TATATATTTTCATACTGGGGAACGAACTCAGGACCTTGCGCTTGCCAGGCAGGTGGCAGAACCACTGAGCTAAATCCTCAGCCCACTTTTAAAATATTTTTTATAAATTAGGCATGGTAGAACATGCCTCTAGTCTCTGTTACTGTACTTGGGAGGCTGAGGCAGGAAGATCACTTGAGCCCAGGAGTTTGAGGCCAGCCTGGGAAATATAGTAAGATTCTGCCCCCCCCCAAAAGTTGCTTTTTGTTATTTATTTACATTTTCAAAAAGTAATATCTTCAGATGTTTTAAATATTTATAAAGAAAGTGTGAAAGGTTAATCATACTGTACCCCATCCTTCCACCTCCCACCACCCCCCTCTGACAGAACCCATGTCTTAACTCTAGTATCCCCTGCACATTGTTCAGCATCTTGCTTTTTCCACTCAACAATGCATCCTGAGACCACTCCATGCCAGCCTGTACTGGGCTGCTGTGTTCTTTTTGACAGCTGCACCATTGCACCCCATATGAGGATTTTTCAAAATGTGTTTAACTCATCTCTGTTGAGGGGTGCTGGGGATTGAACCCAGGGAGTGTGGAGTGACAACCCTAGACCATTTTTAATATTTTATTTTGAGACAAGGTTTTTCTAAGTTGCTAAATTGCCCAGGCTGGCATTGAATTTGTGAACCTCCAGCCTCAGCCTCCTGAGTGGCTGGGATTACAGGCATGAACTACACCCCTGCTTCAACCATCTCATATATATTTTTTTAAACCATCTCATATTGATGAAGATTAAAAGTTTACATTTCTCTTTAAAATTAATTGGCTAATTATTTTTTCTTTTTTGGTGCTGGAATCAAACCCAGGGCCTCGTGCATACTAGGCAAGTGCTCTATCACTGAGCTATGCTCCCAGATCCTGATCATGAATTTACTTTTTTGTTTATGACACTTTTTTTTCTTTTCACTTATGAGGGATCAAACCCAGGGGCACTCTGACTGCTGAGCTACAATCCACATCCCTTTTTATTTTTATTTATTTTTTGTTTTGTTTTGTTTTGTTTTTTTGGTACCAGGGATTGAACTCGGGACCATGCGCTTGCGCAGCAGGTGCCGGAACCACTGAGCTAAATCCCTGGCCCCCCTTTTTATTTTTCAAGACACAGTTTTGCTAAGTTGCTAAGTAGCCCAGGTCAGATTTGAACTTGTCTTTTAAAATGTCTTTTGTTTATTCCAGCTCCCCATCTCTCTATGCTATAATTTGAGTAACTTCTTTAGATTCCCATTCCAGTTTATTAATACTCACTTCAGCTGTGTCTGATCAGCTATGTCAAAAAATTCTATTTGGCTCGCAAGCACAAGGCCCCATGTTCGATCCCTGGTACCAAAAAACAAAAAAAAAATCTATTTGGTTCTCTTTCACATACGTCTGGTCAATTTTAATAAAATCTTGCTTTTTGAAAAAATAGGTTATTGAGATATAATCTACATGCCATACAATTCACTCATTTAAAGTGTACAACTCAGTGGTTTTCAAGATGGTCACAATATGTCCAACCATCACCACACTGAAAAATCTTTTTCAGGGCTAGGGATTGAACCCAGGGCCTCTATACTGAGCTACATCCCCATCCCTTTTTTATTTTTTTATTTTGAGACAGGATCTCGCTAAGTCACTAATATGCTTGGGCTGGGCACAAGCTTGTGATCCTCCTACCTCAGCTTCCCAAGTGCTGGGATTACAGGTGTGCACCACCACACCAGGCTACCACAGTGAATTTTAGAACACTTCGTACTCTATTTTCCTTTTTACTTAGAAATAGTTCAATGTTTATGTCTTAAAAGCAAGGAAATTCCCTTAAATAATCATGATATAATAATCAAAATCAGAGCCAGACATTGTGGTGCATGACTATAATCTCAGCACTCAGAGGGTGAGGCAGGAGGATTGTCATGAGTTCAAGGCCAACCTGGGTAACATAGTGAGTTTAAGGCTACCCTGAACTGCACAGTGAGACCCTGTCTCAAAAAACTAAAAATAAAAAATGATAAAAAATAAAAATCAGGAAAATTAAAAAGGATACAATAGTATTATTTATTCAAAAGTCTGTATTCACCTTTTTTTTTGGTGGTACTAGAGATTGAACCCAAGGCCTTCACATTGTGCTATATTCCTAGACCTTTTCAAATTTTTTTTAAATATAAGGGAAAATGTTTATGAATTTAGGGTAGGCAAGAACTTCCTAGGATACAAAAAACATGATGTATAAAAGAAAAAAATTGGTAAGTGAGATTCCATCAAAATTTAGAACTTTAAATAACATTGTTAAAATAAAAAGTAGTCCTTAAACAGACCATATTTACAATGCATGTAACCTAAGACCAGAATATATAAAGAACTCTTACAGTTCATTAATAGACAACCCAATTAAAAAGTAGACACAAGAAGATGATAAATAGCCAGTACAGCACAAGGAAAGGTGTGCAACACTAGAATCAGAAAAATACTAATCAGTACAATAACAAGATTGAATTATACACACATTAGGGAGATGAACTTAAAAGTTTTAAAATCCTTTTCATGACTTTTTCTTTTTGTTGGATTCTCCCCCTTTGCATTTAATTCGTCATGCCCAACAGATTCATTCTGCTGGGCTTCCTGGGGTTGTGATCCTCATTGTCTTTTCCTAGGATATTGTCTAAAATTTTTTGGAGTGCTGGTTTAGTATTCATGAAGTTCCTAAGGTGCTCTTTATCATGAAAGTATTTTTATTTCTCCATCAATTTTGAAAGATAGTTTTGCAGGGTACATTAATCTGGGTTGGAGGCTGTTTTCCTTTAGGCCTTGAAATACATCACTCCAAGCTCTTTTTGCCTTGAGTGTTTGTTTGCATTGAGAAGTCTGCTGTGATTCTAATGGGCTTTCCTTTGTATGTGATTTGTTTCTTTTCTCTCACTGCTTGTAGAAGTTTGTTCTTCATTTGGGTTTCTGGAATCCTAACTATTATATGCCTATGTGTAGATTTTTTTTTAATCAAGGCTAGTTGGGAGTCCTATATGCCTTACTTAACTGTATGTCAAGTTCTTTTTCCCTGCTTGGGAAGTTTTCTGCCATCACTTCTGTGAACAGTTTTTTTATGTCATCTGCACTCTCTCCTGTTTCTTCATTGACTCCAGTCAGTCTTATGTTATTCTTTGCATCATCTAGCAGCTGCTGGATTGATTTCTTGTGGTCCCTTATAATTTTAAAGCAATTTTTCATTTCCTGATCAGTAATTGCAATCTTATCTTCTATATCTGAAATTCTGTCCTCACATTGGTTCATTTTGCTGCGCAGACTTTCAATGGAGTTTTTAATCTCCTGGAAATCTGTTTGCATCTGTTTTATGGATTCCATGTTTCCTATGTTGGGATTCCATTATGTTCCTCAGCTCCTCTATTTTTTTTTATCTGTGCCCTCTCTAGATTTATTAATCATGTCTTGCACTATGGGCAAGATCTTTGGTGTTATGTGAGAAATTATTTCTGATTTCATTTTTTCCAGATCCTCTTTTGTTTCCAGTTCCAGGAGTCCAGGTGGTTGAGTATCAGTGTTCCATCTTGTTTCCCTTTGGGGTTGCTATAGGTGATCTGGAAGTCTGTTTTTGAGGCTTGTTTACATGTCTTCTCATTTCCACAGGATGGGGGGTGCTGCTGGCTCCTGCGTGGCTCACCTCCTCTGCCCTGGGAACAGTGTAATGGCAGCCGGGGAGCCTCTTCCTGGGCACTGGGATTGGCTCACTTCCTCTGCCCTGGGAGCGGTGGAATGGGGGCCGGGGACCCTCCTCCTAGGCACTGGGATTTGTTCACTGCCTGTGCCCTGGGAGCGGTGGGATCCTTTTTTAATTTTTTGAGACAGGGTCTTGCTAATTTCTTTTTTTTTTTTTTTTGGTACTGGGGATTGAACTTGGGACCTTGCACTTGGAAGGCAGGTGGTGGCACCACTGAGCTAAATCCCCAGCCTAGTCTTGGTAAATTGCTAAGGTGCCCAGACTGGGTTTAAACTTGATCCTCCTATCTCATCCTCCCAGAGTGTTGGGCTACCACACCAAGCCCAACTTTTCATTATTCTCCTAGTGGTGACCTTTACAGTGATTATACAGCTATGTAGTCAAAATTTATTTAATAATTTCCACCTGTCTTCTGCAGAGGCTAGGAAATCTTGGCACATATTACATTTAATTGCCACATCTCCTTTGACTTGGAACAATTTTCTAGTCTCTCCCTTTGTTTCATAATTTTGATACATTTGAAGAATCCAGGACAGCTTTTGGTAGGATACCTCTCCATTTGGGTTTGTCTGATGTTTTCTTTTTGTTTAAATTCAACCTATGAAGCTGGGCATGGTGGTGCATGCCTGTGATCCCAGCACTCGGGAGGCCGAGGCAGGAGAATTGCAAGTTTAAGTCCAGCCTGGACAATTTAGCAATTTAATGAGACTCTGTCTCAAAATTTTAAAAAAGCATAAAAAATAAAATAAAAGGACTGGGCAAGTAGCTTAATGCACAGGTCTTGGGTTCAATCCCCAGTACCACGGCAGGGGATGAGGGGAACGTCATTCTGTATTTTGTTTTTGGTACCAGGGATCGAACTTGGGTCCTTGCGCTTGTGCAGCAGGCAGCCAAAACCACTGAGCTAAATCCCCGGCCCAAAAGCTTCTTTTTTTTTTTTTTTTGGAGGGGGTGGTTACCGGGGATCAAACTCAGGTCCTTGCACTTGTGAGGCAGGCGACAGAACCACTGAGCTAAATCCCCAGCCCTCATTCTGTGTTTTGAATAAAAGGATAACAAGACTTTGGCTATGCAGGAAGAGCTTCAGAAGTTTTATTGTAACTTAGCTTTAACTAGATAAGCTATTTCAAGATCACAGAAATCATTAAATATGAATCAAAATTATTATATTATTCTGAATTTCTTGATATCACAGATAAATTTTGTGTTTTCTTTAGTTGCTTTCAAATTTTTAGATTTTTAAAAAATTCAGAATCATTACATTAAGGACCCTGTGTTTCTATAGGTCAAAATTTCATTCTCCCACTATGCCCCGTACTCTAGATGAACTCTCAAGTTTAAGACACGCCTATCCACTAACTTTTTATTTGTTTTACTTTATTTGCAATATTAGGGATTGAACCTTCCATTGAGGTATATGGGTCCCCTTTTTAAATGTTTTTATTTATTTTTGGTACCAAGGATTATACTCGGGACCTTGTGCTTTTGAGGCAGGCGGTGGAACCACTGAGCTAAATCACCGGCTTCAATGTTTTTATTTTGAGACAGGGTCTTGTTAAGTTACTAAATTGCCAAGGCCATGAGCTAACTTTTTATGTCATGTTGTACTTGAACCATTTAAACTTTCATGCATTTATTTACTCATCTATGAAATATTTAGGATCAGATTTTTCAAGGTCAAAAATCTTCCAATTTTATTGAATCTGTCATGGCAGCTTTTATCTGTGCATGTGTGTGTGCATATGTGTGTGTGTGTGTAATGAGGTTAGAACAGTAAGGTGAACATCTGGGTCACACAGTTTTTCAGTCCCTGTTAACTCTGTACCTCCTGATCAGTTCCTGTTCTGTCTCCTTTTTTCCTTTGTCCAGCAAAATTACTTGAAAACCATGATGGGCCTCCAGCAGGCACACAGAAAATAGTCTCATCACCAGTCCCTGGAGGGTCCCTCAACTCCAACCTGCTGTAGTGGAGCCGCTAAACCACCTGCCAGGAGCTCCAACCACTCTGCTCCCAGGCTGCAGCTCTCGAAGGCATAACAGCCTGCATGCCAGAAGAGCGTCCTCCAGGGCACGCCCTAGCTCGCCTCCACGGAATGTGTTTGGTTTTGATTCAGCCTTACATGCACAGACAGATAAACTTACTTTCTAGTTTGGACTTTTTAGTGCTAATCTAAGAACTTTGTTTCATTTCCTACCTGAAAGGACGTCTTTCCCTGTGTACCAGTGGGGTTAGAACTGAGTTTCCAGTAGGAAGCAAGAGTAGCTCAGGCAGCAGCCTTTCTCCCTCTGCAGCCTCTTTCCTCTCCTGGATGCATGCCCAGGGGAGTGCTTGGTGTGAAGCGTCCTGCTTCTCGTGGCACCCCCAGATCAACTCTAGGGGCATTGTTTCTCTGTCCTTGGCAACCAGGAGAGGACCTGCTCTGGGGAGTGACCCTGGAGAGGACCTCATAGGAACAGGGTGATACTGCTGAAATTGAGCAGGGAAGAGAAGACGTTTTTTGTTCCAGTTCTTAGATGTAGCTCTGCCCTTGGTCATATGAAAGGGAAAGTGCTTACTCACTGCTTTGCTCTTAAGGACAAAGTGCAGGTTTCTAGGGAGTTCTGAAGCAGCCTAGGTGAGAAGTTCCAGGGCTTCCTTGGAATCTTTCCTGTCATGCCCACTTCTGTTCTTGTGGGGCAGGGCCTTGGCCTAGAGCCCTCTCTGAATGCTCCATCCATGTGACATCCTCCACAAGCCCTCCATGCTGCTGGGATTGGGAACAAGAAGAGGCCCTGGTCACCTGGCAGCCCTGTCATGGGAAGCTGTGAGAGAAATGATCCCAGATCACATCTGGTGGGTGACGTCTAGCTCAAGGACCACTTTATATGGGGAAAGTATGAAGGAACTGAGTCTTCTCACCTAAAGAGGGAGTGAAACATGACAGCATTCCCTGGGGTGGGGAGAGGTTGCTACATGGAAGGGGAGCAAGGAGATTTGGTTGGTGTAGCCCCCAAATGCCAGCTAGGGGACACACGTTACCAAACAGGAGCAGACAGTTTATCAAAAGGTGGAAATGGCTGAAAGGCAAATTGTCATCTTAAAATAAGAAGAAGCTTGGGCCGGGGATTTAGCTCAGTGGTTTCGCCGCCTGCTGCGCAAGCGCAAGGACCCGAGTTTGATCCCCGGTACCAGAAAAAAAGAAGAGGCTTGAAATAAGAACAGTCCTGGCATGAAATTAGTAGTGAGAGCCTCTCAGCTGTAGGCCATCTGGCAAGGGGATTGCACGTGGTGGAAGTTTCGGCTGAATAACCCCGTGGTCTGTCCTTCACCCATCAGTGAGCAGATGGATGTGGGTTTTGTTAAATCAGAGTCTTTCTCATTCCTGTCCCCACTACTTTTCCCTCACTGACTGATTATGGTCCTGAAACAGCTCTCAGAGACTCTGGGCCACAGTTCCTGATTCCTTCCCTCCCTTGTTGCCTCTACCCTTCCTAGGACTATTTGGGGTTCGTTGGTCTTCGGGGGCTTGTCAGGAAACGGGTCATAGAAAATAGGGTTATATCTTATTAGGGCCACAGGAAGCAGCTGTTTGTGGAGTCCCCAATCTCTCTTCCCTCCAGTTCCCAGTAGTGGCTGGCATGGCCTGGCCTTGCTGGACATCCTGTCCTCCAGAGTCCTTGGCAAGGCCCGAGGCTTGCAGCCAGGTCAAGCTGGGCCTTGTAATGGCAGTTGGTGCTGGCTCCTCTCTATTTGTCTCAGGTTCATCTGCCATCACACAGGCCTCTCCCATCGGTTCTGCACAAATTGAACTGAGTGATCATCAGGGTGGGTGGAGCCATGGGAATAAACTGGGATGGTGTTCAGTAGATCACTGTCCACACCTCAGGACAGGAAGGTGGGAGGCACTGTGTTACTAAGCTTATCATTCCAGAAAACCGCTTCTGCTGGGCCAATTCAACCATCTAAGTCACATCTAAAGGGATTTCCTTCCATCAATGGGACAAAGAAGGTAACCCAAACACATTCCTGCTACAGAGGCTGGCTTTTTCCAGTACTGGGGCTCCAACCAGGGTTTTCACATTGGGCTACATCCATACCAGCCCTTTTATTTTTATTTTTATTTTTGAGATAAGGTCTCAATAAGTCCCTAAATTGCCCAGGCTGGACTCAAACTTGTGATCCTCCTGTCTGAGTCTCCCACAGTGCTGGAATTACAGGCCTAAGCCTCAGTATAGTATTTTTTTTTAATGCAAAATTAAGTTTGTAATAAAGGAGGAACTGGTCAGGCGTGGTGGTGCACACCTGTATACCAGAACTTGGGAGGCTGAGGCAGGAGGATTGCTGCAAGTCCAAGGCCAGCCTGAACTACACAGTAAGACTCTGTCTCAAAACACCAAAAAAGGAGGAGGAAGAGGAAAAACTGAAGCTGGTGTCCATAATCCCAGCACTCCGGGGGCTCAGGCAGGAGAAGTGAGAGTTCCAGGCCTGCCTGGCTTCATATTGAGTTTGAGGCTGTGCCTGGGCTACATAATGAGACCCTGTTTGTCTCATTAAACCAAACCAAAAAAAAAAAAAAAAAAGGAAGGCAGGTACTTGAGACAGAATTGAAAACCAGAGCGATTAAAGAAAACAAGAGTGGTCAGCATGTGAACTGGCTGTGGCTGGTAGGCCAGGGAGAAGGTGTGTGAAAATGGTCTGCTGCACTTGGGCATTTGCGTCCACACAAGTGTGAGAAATGAGACTTTGGCCCACGCCTGCTAGGAAGCTGGAAACAGGACTCCCTGCACGAAGATGGCACCCTGAAGACTTCCTCCTTGGTGAAGAAGTAAACTATGAAAAAATTCTTCCATGGCAGGGATGGGAGAGAACAGGTTCCATGAGAGTTTGCAACCACATATAGGACTCAGATTCAAATTCACACTGTGTGGTCCAGGGAGCACCATGCTGAGGAATTAGCATCAAGATTACTCCCAGCTTGGATTTAGCTCAGTGGTTTCACCACCTGAGCGCAAAGACCCGAGTTCCATCCCCGGTACCAAAAAAAAAAAAAAAAAAAAAGAGTATCCCCAGCTTGTGATAACTCTGTAACATTTAGTAGAATCAATTTTTTTTTTGAGGGGAGGGTACCAGGATTGAACTTGGGACCTTGCGCTTTTGAGGCAGTTGGCGGAACCACTGAGCTAAATCTCTGGCTCAGTAGAATCAAATTTTAAGAATCAACTGTATGTGCCTTCAGCCTAGCCACAAAACCCACAAAGCACTAGTAAATATAAGCTTTAAAGATGAAACACAGAGAAGTCAGGTATGGTGGTATACATCTGTAATCCCAACACTATGGGACACTGAGGCAGGAGATTTTTGAGCCCAGCACAGGCAACTTAGCAATTTAACAAGATTAAAAAAGAAATTAAAAATTCAAAAAGAAAAAAAAATTTAAAAAGAAAGAAAAAGGAGTGGGGATGCAGCTCAAGCCCCTGGGTTCAATCCTCAGCACTGCAAAAATAAAAAACAAAAAATGGAAACAACCTACCATTGTGAACACACCATAAAAGGTGAAACAGACTTATAAGAATTTCAAATAAGTTATTGGAGAAAGATTATACAATATGTGCACACATATAGGTATATAGTAAACAAAAATGTACATATAAACATGTACATATACATATATAAACATATGTATGTATGTATATATAAGGAGAGCTGAGCATAGTCATGCGTATCTGTCATCCCAGCTACTCAGGAGGCTGAGACTGGAAGATCACAAGTTCAAGCCCACCATGGGTAACATAATGAAACCAGCTCAAAAGAAAAAAACAAATTGAAAAATGAGAGATTCCCCAGGGCTTCAAGTCTGCAGCTGGGCCTGGCCAGGCCTTGGTGGCCCATGCTGCTGGGCAGGGCATCCTGCTGCTGCTGCTAGCCATGTGCACCCCATTTTGGCGAGAGGTGGAGATGCTGGGGAATAGTTATGGGCACATAGTGACCTGTCAGGACAGTGGCACAATGACATCTAAGAATTCCCAGGGACTTAACACCAATCACACTGTGAAAAGACGAAAGCAACACAGCCTTGTATAGCTCCTTATCGAGTGCCCTGATTGCACTGAGAAGCTATGACGAGTAGGAGAGCTCTAACACCTAGGTTCGTTATTATGTTCTGTGATTGTCCACACAATGGCAAGACTGCCCAGCTGCCCAAAGTGACAGGCTGATTTGGAGGTTGGGTGATTCAGATATAGAATCCCAGATCTGTGCCTATATCTTTTCTTTCTCTCTCTCTCTCTATATGTATATACACACACATATATGCCTATATATGTACATATATTGTATCCTTTTTCTCCAATAATTTAAGCAATAACTTTTTTCATCAGTTTCAAGACCAAAATCACACAGCCACCTGAGATGACCTAATAGTTTTTTGTTGTTGTTGTTGTTGTTTTTGGTACTGGGGATCGAACTTGGGTCCTTGCACTTGCGCAGCAGATGGGGAAACCACTGAGCTAAATCCCCAGCCCAACCTAACAGTTTTTAACCACTCTCATCATTGCCTGTGATGCCCAGTACGTGGGGAATAGAGAAGTGTATACCTTGATGCATATGCTGTCTCCCTGCCAGAGACTAGAAGGATTCTAGGCTGGGCTGGGAGCAGGCAATTTACTTTTCCTGCAGGACAGCTCTCTTTTATTCATGCATGGGAAGATGAAGGAATTTCCTTTCAGCTGTGGATAGAACAGTGGCCCCAAACAAGGGAGGTGACAAGAGGAACTGGCCTACTGTGCTCCAGAAGGGAGCTCCTGTGGCTCCCAGCCCTTGTTTCTTTGTGTCCAAGAAATCAGCCCATTGTCTACAAGGTCTTAATCTTGAGCCCAGTGCTAAATGCTATAGTGCTGCTCCACTTGCATCTTTCACAGCTCTTCCCACCATCAGCGGCTGCCAGGAACAGCCCAAGAAAGGTGATAGCCTTCTGATTCTTCTCCCCACCTAATGAACTGCTTGCCCCAGTAGGGTGGGAATTGGTGACACAAAGTGAGACTGAACCTGCCTTGCAGCTGAGGACAGAGGCAGGGCAAGGTGGGAAGGTGGGTTTCAAGTCCAGCTGCAGTAAGGATGAAGGAGTGCTGGTTGTAAAGCATATGCCCCTGAAAAATGAGAGCGGGGCTGGAGTTGAGTCTGACTTTGAATC